GAATGTCTGGAATTGGGCCTGGCATATAGTTGAGGCTCAATAAATATTGAATAAAGGTTAAATAAATAAGTGAGCAAATTATATGAAAGGATCCAGGGAGATTCAAAAGGTCTGAGTATCGGGTCTGGATGTCTTGAAGAAAGGCATAACATGGAATCAGATTAAGAGGTTTGGGGAGTTGGGGAGATCTGTTTTAGACATCTTGAGTTTGAGGTGACTATTGTGCAGCTAAGTCCTACGGGCAGCTGGAAATGCATGTGAGGAATGGACACAAAAAAAGCCACAACCATAGTGGTTGTTCCAATCCTAGTAAGGAACTGGGCTTTGACCACGAAAAAGAATGAAAACTGGATTTTAAAATAAGCCTCCATTGGACATTTCTCATTTATATTTTTAAAACATCTACTGCTTAGAGGAGCTGTCGCCATGAAGGTTATAATTTGTATTAGGACACAGCAGAGGGTAAACAACCTCTTTGGGTACTGTTCTATCATTGCCTGAAAACCTGCGGGAGGCGGTGAAGGCACGCAGCCCAGCACCCAGAGTGTTGGGAGTGAAGGTAGGGCCGGTTATGCTGGGCGATCAGGCAGAACCGGGAAAGCAGATCTCCAGCAACGCAGTGGCGCTGTGTTAATCTTTTTATTTTTCTCTTTCTCTGTTCATCTCCCTCAATAAGTTCTTCATTTATCTTATCTCAACCTTTCTGCTTTTCTCTCTTCCTCTAGCTAAATCATATTTCTCATGCCTTATGTATCAACCTGATTATTTCTCTACTAACTTCTTTCATCTGGTCTTTTGAAAAGTTCCCCTCACTAGACTTCGTGGCTCATGCCTGTAATCCCAACACTTTGGGAGGCGGAGGCCGGAGAGTCGCTTGAGCCCAAGGGTTTGAGACCAGCCTGGGCAACAAAGTAAGACCCTATCTCTACAAATAAAATAAAATAAAATAAAATAATTAGCCAGGCATGGCGGCACAGGCATATAATCCCAGATACTCGGGAAGCTGAGGTAGGAGGCTCTGATCCCAGGAGTTGAGTTGCAGTGAACGGTGATCACACCACTGCACTTCGGCCTGGGTAACAGAGTGAGACCCTGTCTCCAAAAAAAATAAGAGAAGTACCCCATTCCATCTCACCATACCTATCCCCTCTCCCTTTGCTTTTTCAGGTACACTGCAGTGGTCATGCCTGTTCACTACCAGCATGGCACGGGACAGAACTCCTGTCGGCGCGTGGCCCTCATGATCACGGCCGTCTGGGTACTGGCCTTTGCTGTGTCCTGCCCTCTCCTGTTTGGCTTCAATACCACAGGTAATGATGATGGCTTCACTTCTAGCATCAGTACGATTCACAGCACACCTGAATGTCTGGCTGTGAGTTGTGCTCAGCCTTGAAATTTCTGACCCCGGGTCAGCATACTTTGCAATTAAAGGAGAATGCCAGAGAATGCAAAGCTTTGGCCTTTGTTTGTTATAAATAAAATATAAATAAAACCTCATCAATTATTGGCACAGGGGGTAAAGTTCTGCCCCAATTAATGAAAAGTCTGGCTCATCTTTATTTCAAAAAAATGTCATTGTATTCATTTGCAGAAACGTACCAGTTGAAAAAACCAAGATACATATTAATAATTCAGGCAAGTTCTGCTAATGAAAAGACAACAATTCATAACAGACCTACTATAAGAATTTTATAATGCAAAATAACACATTATAAAAGTCTTATAGTAGGATATATATTTCCAACTTTTTACTCAATAAGAATAATTTCTGATACTTTAGAACTAACCAGTATACTTTTGCAAATTGCTGGAGTGTGTATTTTCTATTTTTAATATAAAAATTCTGGATATGATGGTTGGCACATGGTACATCGATAGGATGGACAGATGGATGGATGGATGGATAGACGGATGAATAGATGGATAATGTATATACCTGAAATGCTCAGAATTTTAAGTGTAGGACACCAATACCTCAGATGAATCAGTGCCTTCCATGTTGGTACCATGTCCATCTTTTAGCCTCAGTAATTTTTTCTCTTTTTTTCTTTTTTTTGAGACCAAGTCTCATTCTGTTGCCCAGACTGAAGTGCAATGGCATGATCTCAGCTCACTGCAACCTCCACCTCCCGGGTTCAAGCACTTCTCCTGCCTCAGCCTCCCTGGTAGCTGGGATTATAGGGATCTGCCACCACCTCCAACTAATTTTTGTATTTTTGATAGAGACAGGGTTTCATCACGTTGGCCAGGCTGGTCTCAAACTCCTATCTCAAGTGATCGGCCCGCCTCAGCCTCCCAAAGTGCCGGATTACAAGTGTGAACCACTGCACTCAGTAATTTCATGTGTGAAATGAAAGATATTAACACACATAGTAACGTGATGGGTATTGACAATATACACTGAGTGCTAAGAGAAACCTGCTTGATTAGTGTTCCAGTGGTCATCTGGATTTCTTATTTTGTCCATTTGAATTGATTTCATTCAACGCCTATATGCCAGGTTTGTAAATTTCTATATGTATGTACTAGTCACATGGCCACATGCTTGTGTGTATGCAGATATTATGTCTAACATATTATGTATAAATACAGGCAAATCCTAACTTTAAGTAATCTTCCAAGTGTCATTTGCTGGACAATGACTTAGAAGTCAAAATACATTTAGGAAGATAGGCATAGGCTTTGGAGTCAGTAAAATCTAAGTCCAAACTCTAAACCAAAGTCCAGTTTTACTAGCTGTCTCTCCTAAACAAGTTACTTAACTTCTCTGAGTTCAGTTTCCTCACTGGTAAATGTGGGATAAAATTACAGTGGAGCATATACTTGAGCAAATTAAAATATGTGGACTCGATCTACATATTTAGTTAAGACATTTTTAATATTTATTTTTATATTTGACCTGCTACAAATAAGCCCAGCAACTTTATCTCTAAAATGATATTCCATAGGAACCCTGTACTATATGACACATTACTATATGTATCATACAACCTATTACTCTTCAGGGTTGTAATAAAACACGTATATCTTTATATGTGATTCAGATTTTCAAAGCAAATTTGGAGTCTATAATTTTCACTTTATTTACTGACTTTAGAATCTAAGCCTACATATAACTCCACTCTACCTTCTTCATAGAGATTTTTGCAATTAAATGAGGATTAAATGGGGATAACATATGTAAATATGCCAAGCACTTACTGCCTCCTCAAGGCCAGCTTGTCTCTCTGCCACAGTGAAGGGTAACTATTCAACTTATCAACAAATATTTGCCTGGTTAACCCAGGCTATTCCCAAAATATGGTGTTGTTATCTTTGCATTACTGTTTACCATTCATTACTTTGTTATTTTAGCTGAACAACACTTTATACATGCAAACACGTGTGCACATGGGCACACTGCGCAGCACAAAGCAATATCCCTTAATGTGGCTACGGAGGCTGACTCTGTGGCACTAAAATACCATATCTGGTGAATGCTAAATGTGCTTTATAGGTTAGTCTGATAGCTAAGTCACCTTCTGTAAGTTTGTTTCTATATGAAAATGTATTCTGCCAGGCGCGGTGGCTCAAGCCTGTAATCCCAGCACTTTGGGAGGCTGAGGTGGGTAGATCACGAGGTCAAGAGATCGAGACCATCCTGGTCAACGTGGTGAAACCCCGTCTCTACTAAAAATACAAAACATTAGCTGGGCATGGTGGCACGTGCCTGTAATCCCAGCTACTCAGGAGGCTGAGGCAGGAGAATTGCCTGAACCCAGGAGACAGAGGTTGCGGTGAGCCGAGATCGCACCATTGCACTCCAGCCTGGGTAACAAGAGTGAAACTCCATCTCAAAAAAAGAAAGAAAGAAAAAGAAAATGTATTCTTAGAATTTCTAGTGTGGGGAACTCACCACTGCTAGACTAGGCACTGTTTACCCCCTAGCCAACAGCAAATCCCCACCAGCATCTGCTGGGCTGGCTGTGGTTCCCCTGACTCACTCTTGGTGGAGGCGGTCTTCTTCACTCTCACAGACACACCACACTGGAAACAGTTGAAACAGTCTCAAAATCTGACATTAGACCATGTTCTCGGTGAATGTCGACATCCAGAGTGAGGAAGAAGGATGAACAACTCATTCCAGTGTTGTTGCCACCAGTGAGATCATTATTGTTCCAGAAACAAAATTCAGGAAAATTTTTTTCAAAAGGATTTTCAAATATAGGATTGAGAAGGCAGAAAAGGCCTGTGACTTAGCATGTGCGCTTTCACTTCTCTCTCGTCTCTCACAGCCTGTCTCCCTCTTTTACTTTTAAGTTTATTGCACTCTAGCAAGCCCTCCAATTATTCATATATAGTGTCAAAGTGTCAGGTTCCAATGTGAGGGCTCAGTAGATATTAGCTGGTGCTATAGTTGTTATTAGTTGTTGGAAAAGTTTAACTATACATCAAAATTTAACTATACATCTGCAGCTGTAAGAGTTTTGCTGATAGTTTTAGAGATCAGTCACCTCTTCCTTGAACAGTTAGGGGACTTAGTAAGCGAAACTCAGGCCCAGCCGTCCTCCTCTGCCTCAAGCCGACCTTCACTGTACAGCTTCATTATCTTGATAGATGTGGGTTCCTGCAGCAACTCTCTCATCTATAAGGAAGTTCCCAAGTTCATTTGAAAGCCCAATATAAAGGACTCCTCTCAGTCATTTTTTCTGCTCCTTCTGTGGAAAATCAAGGGGGAGACAGCAGGATCCTGCCAATAACACCTGATATTGGAAGCAGCTGGACTTTCACTAATAAGTGCAACACAAAAAAAGAACTTTCTGGCAGAGCTCTCCTTTTAATATCATGGGCTGCCACATGCAATTGTGAATTAAGAGAACATAAGACACAGAAAAGTTGAACTTCAGTCTCTTCCAACTTGGAGTTGCTCCTGATCTCAGATGAAAGGTCAATATGAGGCAGGGTCTTGGGTCAGAGAGTTCCTGGCCAGGATTGCCTTAACTTCCAGCAGAGGCCCAACAGTCTAGGCAAATACCACATCATCAACAGACCCTGATACAGCAGAGCACGGTGTGCTGGTGCTAAAGGAAACTCTGAAGATCCCTGAATGAGCAGCCCAATCTTTTCATTGCATAGATAAAACTAGTATTTAAATTCCTGCTAAATCAGAAAGCTATTGTGTTATTTTTAAAAATCTAGATTGAATAAGCAAAGAATGAATAAGCTGGTGATAAGGGTTCAAGAAACCTTTAAGGGAGGAGAAACTTAAAGTTAAGAAAACTCTATCAGCTGGCTTGATTTTCCTTTGAAAGAAGGAAATGGAGGAGGGCTATTTATTTGATTTCATCAATAGAACAACTCACCTAGTTTTCAGAGCACTGGAGCTAGGTTGGGGGAGGGGGAGCTTGGTTGCACAAAAAGTTGAAAGAATAATAGAAGCACAAAGTTAAAAGGATAATAGGCTCATCCTAAAATCAAATTCATTGGCACCGCATGTCTTTGGAATCAAGTTGGGGTCAAATCTGTCAGTGAGTTTGAAGTTCATGAATCTTTCAAGTAAACCTGCTCTGAGCCAAGCTGTTCACATCATTGTGGGGCTCAGTTTCCCAAGACAGCCTGCAAAAGCCTCTTAGATGCCTTCATATTTTTCACCCAGCACAGTGCTTTACACATAGTAGGTACTCCATAAAGGTTTGTTGAATGAGTAAATAGGTGACTCTTCATCATCATCCTTTCTTCCTGAAATGTTGACATTAATCGGGAGAAGCATCTCTAATCTCAGAGGAGCAGTGACCTCCCCTCCCCCCGGAAAGGCCTTCTCCATTATCCTCTGGTCAGTGAGTATGCATGTGTTTACATAAAATGCTCATTTGTACATTTTGCTCATTTTCATTTATTATTTTTGCATTTGCTTAATAACTATTGTGCTAACAAAACGACACTCCTGCAGTTAAATCATCAAAGCAAGGCACCTCATCTTCTGGGGAACTGTCAGCTTCTGAGGGGGGCCTTACTGTCTTCCTCACCTCTTTGGTATTCAGCAGAGAAGATTTCAGAACTGCTGCTGTGTGGTGCATCACTCTGCCCTGCCAACAGGACACACACACCCAGGGCCAGGCCTGCTGGGGGCTGGGGCAGGCCCCACTCATTGGCCACCCACCTCCAGTGTCACTCTGCCTGCAGTGGGGACATTCTGGAAGAGGCTGCAATGCTCGATCTAAGGAAGGGAAACAGTTTACTTAGGGGAGGAAGGAAGGGAATCTGCAGTGCAGATTCTGTGATTATATGTGAAAGCCTTCATTGACTAGGAACCCTGAAATAGCTATATGCCCTCTCAACTCTGTCTTTCAATATTTTTAATGGAGAAATAAATGCTTGCACATAAAACAGTCATAAGGTATCATGAGATACATACATATTTATATGTAAGTCTCCCTTCTACGCCAGATTACTAAATTCTCCCATCCCCTCAGAAACAAACATTAATATTGTTGCAAGATAATGTTTGCAACAAGTGTGCATGTCATATACATATATGTGTATGTACATGTATGTGTATTCATTTTTACACAAAGAGAAGCATATCATACCCCCTTCTGACCTTTGCTTTTAAAAGAGGTAGCTCATATATAAAATTTAGAGGTCAGCCTCCCGGAACCCAGAGGGGCAGGAAAAGGTAGAAAATTAGGTAAAAGAACCAACAGGGAATACCCAGGACACCAAGGATGGCAACAAGATGGGGAGTGCCACCCCGCTGGCCTCTTCTCACACACGAGACATGCGAGACGCCTTTTGATCATGGGCAGGATTTAAAACCATAGTCAGACGCTGACAACAGGACTGACTTCCGAGAAGGGGCAGATCACCGCCAACATGGCTCCCTAGAGATTCCAAAAGGCTACCCTCTGCCACTCATCCCTCTCCCAACTCCATCATCCCCTAATACCAGAAGATGCCAATTTGGTGAACTATGCCGAGCCTTATGAGCCATTTCCTAAGAGATGATGACACAGGCTTTGGTGAGACAACATGAAATTTACCTGAATTTTACTTCCCTTCAGAGAATCAGAGAATTTAGGAGTAGCTTGTAAAGATTCTAGTGGCAAAGTTGTCATTAAAATGCATCACTGACCACTTTTTTCATTTTTGTTATTAGCTATTATTCTTTTCCTTCTCTCAGAAATATTGTTTCCTGTAAGTTTCTCTCCAAATGATACCTTCCCTTTTCAGGTCAAAAAGCTCAGGGGAGAGAAATAATAAATAGCAATCATAAATAAATATTAATAATAGCTACCATTTATTCTCATTAATTCTCACAACTACTGTATAATACTTCTATACTTTTTCTTTACAGGTAATAAAACTGAGGCTTCACATATTTAAGAAACGTGCCCAGGATCACACAGTTAATATATAGTAGACCTGAATCTCACACGTAGGGCTGCCTGCCTTCCACCTCCCCCAGAAGACCAAGAAGCAGAATAAGGGGCTTACATGGCCACTGCCCTCTCCCCACCAGCTCACACCTGAGGCTTCATCTTCCAAGGCCAGATTTGGGGTTGGAGAATCCCCAGCGCTTTATGAAGATCGGCCAGGTGTACCAGCAGTTGTTGCTGACAGTGCCGGATGAAGCACAAACGTTCCACGTCACAATAGTAAAGGGGGATGGGAAGTTAAAATTACAGAAAGAACATTGGCTTGGGGACAAAACTGGCTGCAGGAACAGATTTTTCAGGTGCAGCCTTGGGCTACTTACTGAACCTCTCTGAGCTTTAGTCTGCTTATCTGAGAAGACAGACAGTAACGGCACCTGCCTCATGTAATGTTGCCGTAATTATTAGGTAGGATAAGGTGTACAAATCTCTTGGCTCATTGCCTGGCAAATATTGGTTTGCTTTTCTTTGCTTTTTCAAGATGGGGCAAGTTTCAGGCCCTATCTTGGGCCATGGAGGAATCTCAAAATCTGCTATGAAGAAGGCAAAGCTACAGGGACCTCCCAAGGAGAAGTGGCAGGAACATTTCAGGACATAAAGCACATTCTAAGCACTTCTAAATGCACATTCTTCATGTCACAATATCATTACCCGCCTTTTTCCCATCCCACCTCTGGCCAGTGCTGGGATTCCCTGAAAAATCAAATCCCTGTCTTATATTCAGCCACCACCTGCCCTCCATTCCAGATTCAGAATTGGAAAACTGGCATTCTCAGCAAACAAGGCTTCTTCCTTTCATTGCATTCCAGCAATTCTCAAATGCCTCCATACCAGCAGGCCCTTTTCGGGGGGCTGTAACTCTTCTGGGAGTCTCTGCCCTGTTGCCCTATAATGCTCTCTCCAGCCTCCCAGATTGCATGCATCTGTGTGACACTTATGACATCCTATGAAAGGGATCATCTGTCTATCTTGACTCTTTGCTCCCTTGAGAGCAGACATGGTGTCTCATTCATCATTGCAGGCTCCAGTGTCTGGTATACGATTGTTGGTAAATGTTCTTTTCTTTTCTTTTCTTTTCTTTTCTTTTCTTTTCTTTTCTTTTCTTTTCTTTTCTTTTCTTTTCTTTCTTTCTTTCTTTCCTTTCTTTCTTTCTTTCTCTCTCTCTCTTTCTCTTTCTTCTTTCTTTCTTCTTTCTTTCTTTCTTTTCCTTCCTTCCTTCCTTCTTTCTTTCTTTCTCTTTCTTTCTTTCCTTCTTTCTTTCTTTCTTTTTCTTTCTTTTTCTTTCTTTCTTTTCTCTCTCTCTCTCTCTTTCTCTCTTTCTCTCTTTCTCTCTTTCTTTCGATGAGTCTCTCTCTGACGCCCAGGCAGGAGCCCAGTGGTACGATCTCAGCTCACTGCAACCTCTATCTTCTGAAGTGATTCTCCTGCCTCAGTCTCTCAAGTAGCTGGGACCACAGGCGTGTGTCACCACGCCTGGCTAATTTTTGTATTTTTAGTAGAGACAGGGTTTCACCATGTTGGCCAGGATGGTCTTGGCCTCCTGACCTCATGATCCACCCACCTCGGCCTCCCAAAGTGCTGGGATTACAGGTGTGAGCCACCACACCCGGGTGGTCTGTAATTTTTTTAAGGCATAATAAGACTAGGACTTAAAAAAAAAAATGCCCTGTAAAATGAATGCTTTTTAAGAAATAATAGAAGTCACTTTTATTCCAACATGCTATCTTTATTAAAATATTTTCTTTTTAAGCAAACTGTGAGAAACACAAAGGCGAATTAGACCTTCTACCCTCAAGGACTTGACAGTGTAGGTGTCTGAGACTGCACCCTCCCCACCCACTGTGCACCACACATGACATGGGGCCACGTTTTATGCTCCCTACTGAGTTCTGATGCTTGCTAACTGCTTTATCTTCCCTCTTCTCATCCACAGGTGACCCCACTGTCTGCTCCATTTCCAACCCAGATTTTGTCATCTACTCTTCAGTAGTGTCCTTCTACCTGCCCTTTGGAGTGACTGTGCTTGTCTATGCCAGAATCTACGTGGTGTTGAAACAAAGGAGACGGAAACGGATCCTCACTCGACAGAACAGTCAGTGCATCAGTGTCAGGCCTGGCTTCCCCCAACAAGTAAGCACCCTGGATGGGGTAGAGGGAAGACAACACCCAATCTGCTGACCTTCCAGCCTTGTGTCCAGCAGTGCACGATTTTGCCGTTTACCTACATTAGAGACACAAATCTGACACCCACTTTGGAATCTGCTAATACTGGCTGTGCTTTGAAGGTAGGAAATCCAATCTCAAGAGAACATTGACAGTTGTCTCTAGAGCCTACCTTACCTGGCAAGATGATCAGATAGCACCTGGGCTTGTTCTGCTTCCCTTCAAAGTGTTTCATTTTTCCCAAATGGGGAACAGTTCAGATGTCCTACAGGGTTTGATGTTTAAGTGCAGCAGTTGGTAACTTGCACTACTGGTGGGTTCCCAGAACTGACTTTGTCCAAATCATTCATCCCAAGAATCACTGGGGCCCATCAAAACCTTTTTTCCTTACTGGATCTGCCCCTGTGCCAAGGAACTAACCAGCTTGTGGGATAGGATGCTAATAAAGCATTTTATTGGATCTTTCCAGGCTCTGAAAAGAAGTCATTGCCTCTGCAATGATCTTCCAATTGCTAGGGCTTTAAATTCCACTTACCCTAGTGCCTGGCACATAGTAGTTTTCCATGATGTGCTTGAAGCATGAATGAATATATATTGATCACTTGAAATCTACTAGGGAAGGGACAGTGGTTAACATTAAACAGCCTTCATGGAGCTTAGAATCTAGACAAGCAAATAAAGCACCCCTCCACTAAAAGTTAATGAACAGCCCAGAGCTGAATGGGATGTTTGCCAAATGTGAGGGGAAGACAATTAAGCAGTCAGTTATGAAGTGCTATGGAGGTTATAGAAGAGAAAAACCAATATGCTCAGTGATATGGTTTGGCTGTGTCCCCACCCAAATCTCATCTTGAATTGTAGCTCCCAATTCCCACATGTTATGGGAGGGACCCAGTGGGAGGTAATTGAATGATGGGAGTGTGTCTTTCCTGTGCTGTTCTCATGATAGTGAATAAGTCTCATGAGGTCTGATAATTTTATGAGGGAGAGTTTCCCTGCACAAATTTTCTCTTGTCTGCTGCCATGTAAGACATGCATTTCACCTTCCACCATGATTGTGAGGCCTCCCCAGCCACGTGGAACTGTGAATCCATTAAACCTCTTTTTCTTTATAAATTACTCAGTTTCAGGTATGTCTTTTATAAGCAGTATGAAAACAGAGTAATACACTCAGAAAAGGGCTCCATAGACAGAGTAAGGATTGAGTTTCATCTTGAAGGCAGATCCAATTTGAGTGTCTAGGTTAATATTTGATGACCTAGAATCTTTCTTTCTTTCTTTCTTTTTTGAGACAGAATCTCACTCTGTCACTCAAACTGGAGTACAGTGGCACAATCTCAGCTCACTGCAGCTTCTGCCTCCTGGGTTCTAGAGATTGTCATGCCTTAGCCTCCTGAGTAGCTGGGAGTACAGGTGTCCACCAACACACTCAACTAATTTTTATTAGAGATGGGGTTTTGACACATTGGCTAGGCTGGTCTCTAACTCCTGGCCTCAAATGATCTGCCCACCTCAACCTCTCAAACTGCTGGGATTATAGGCTTAAGCCACCATGCCTTGCCTGATGACATAGATAATCTTTGATGACCTTTTAAGGTCTTTGATGATGTCAAAAGTATGAATGAAGGTCAGACTCTTAAGTTGAAGTCCCAAGGCTGGAGTAAAACAAGCCTATTAATCCTCATGAAAGAGGTGATCAAGACCCAAGGCTGAGGATATGAAAATATTACATTCAAATATGATTGTGTCACATGGCTACATATGGCATGGCTTGACCCACAACTGCCTGTTCCTCCTTCAACCCACCCTAGTCTTCTTGTCTGCAGCTGCACCCCATTCAGCAGTGTTCAGTCAGGGCCCGATTTCTATCAGATGCCACAGGAAAAATGGTAAATGGGCCATGTCTTTGATCACAGAAAAAGAATAGGAGAACTTTTCCCACAATACTGGCTTATCTTGATTCTACTCTCACCCCAGAAGGAGATCTTGCCTTGATTCTTACACATATATCTTTAAGATAAGGCCTGAAATTCTGCCTAATTTAAGCTGCAGACTAGAATTCATCAGATGATATTCAGAAAGCATATGACTATTGGGCTTGACCTTAGTGACTGGAGCCAATGACTCTTCCACAATGCCATCCAAGGCCACCTGCATTAGAGGTAAGAGACATCAAGGAAACACACATTGGCAGAGCAAAAACCAGGCATAGAAATGAGAATTTCAAGTACCATATTTACCACTGAATGTGGGAAAAACCAAGACAATTTCATGGTTACCATGAGCCTTGTTTTTCCAGTTCAAGCCAGCCCTCCCTCACCCAGCTAGCAGAGTGCAGAATGGAGTCTGGAGGTGTTAAATATAAGAACAGTATTCCTTTCTATGAATTCCACATTAGAAATAAAACTTCAAAAATTTGTAATAATAAAGGGTCTGAGCTTTGTTCAATCTTAGTATAGTTAACCACTTTTTACCCAGCCTGCTGTAGCAAATAGAGATAAGTGCTTTAAATGATAATAGCTATGCAGTTCAAACTTCCCTGTGGTTGATCCAAGGTCTGAGGAGGCTTCAAGGTCAAAAGGGGGAAAAATATTGAACACAAGAGGGAGATCGGAGATTCAAGTGGCTGGCATTTCCAGCAGTGTGGAGAATTAGATTCTGTTCTGCCATCTGGGAATGGAGGGCTCTGCTAGCCAGACCCATAGGAATCCAGCGTTTCCTCCTGTCAGTCATGGAAGTAGTGATGAGGGTTTGCAGACAGAGCTGAAAAGTACACTTACCAATGTATAATCTTGGAAAAATCATTTTTCTCCTATAGGACTGAATTTCCATATCTGTACAATGGAAACAGGGTATACTAGATCAATGTTTTCAAATCTGAGATTTTTTTTTTTTTTGAGACAGAGTCTCACTCTGTTCCCCAGGCTGGAGTACAGTGGTGTGATCATGGCTCACTGCAGCCTTGAACTCTTGGGCTCAAGCAATCCTCTCATCTCATCCACTACACCTAGCTAAATATGAGATTTCATAGGCAATCCCAGTAATTTGTTTTCTATCCCCTAGTTTTAGAAATAATGCATTAGAATCAAATGTTGTCACTCTAAGAAGATCAGTAGGTGCCAGTTTAATTATAAATTTAATCTTCGTTGTAAATAAAACAAAATATGCTTATTTTAATTATTAGACAATTCCGTCAAAATAAAAGCCAAGACGGGGCGCAGTGGCTCACGCCTGTAATCCCAGCACTGTGGGAGGCCGAGGCGGATGGATCACGAGGTCAAGAGATCGAGACCATCCTGGTCAACATGGTGAAACCCTGTCTCTACTAAAACTACAAAAAATTAGCTGGGCATGGTGGTGCGTGCCTGTAATCCCAGCTACTCAAGAGGCTGAGGCAGGAGAATTGCCTGAACCCAGGAGGCGGAGGTTGTAGTGAGCCGAGATCGCGCCATTGCACTCCAGCCTGGGTAACATGAGTGAAACTCTGTCTCATAAATAAATAAATAAATAAAAACAAAAGCCAAGACATTTTAATATATATTCTCTTAACTTGAAGTCATGTTAAGTGAAATAAGCCAGACATAGAAAGACAAATACCACATGTTCTCAATCATATATGGGAGCTAAAAAAGTGGGTAATGTGACAATAGGGAGTAGATTCATGGTTACCAGAGGCTAGGAAGGAGATGGGGAAGGGGGCAAGGAAGAGAGGTAGACACATAGGTACAAATATACAAGGAACAAATTCTAGCATCTAATTGCACAGTAGGGTGACTATACTTAACAGCAGTTTATTGTGTATTTCAGAATGCCTAGAAGAAAAGATTTGAAATGTTCCCAACACAAAGAAATGATCATTATTTGAAGTGATGACTAGCCTGATTTGATAATTTCACATTGTGTGCATGTATCAAAATATTGCATTTACCCCATAAATATGTACTATTATTATATATGAATTTAAAATCTTAAAGAAAAAAATGTGTATTATTCTAGAATTCCTAAGAATACCTCTGAGGAGCACAGTTTTTTTAAAAAACCCTAGGCCAAGCATGGTGGCTCATCCTTGTAATCCTAGCACTTTGGGAGGCTGAGGTGGGCAGATCACTTGAGGTCAGGAGTTCGAGATCAGCCTAGCCAAAATAGTGAAACCCCATATGTACTAAAAATACAAAAATTAGCTGGGCATGGTGGTGAGCGTCTGTAATCCCAGCTACTCAGGAGGCTAAGGCAGGAAAATTGCCTGAACCTGGGAGGCAGAGATTGCAATGTGCCGAGATCATGTCACTGCACTGCAGTCTAGGTGACAGAGCGAGACTCTGTCTCAAAAAAAAAACCTAAATTGGCTGGGTGTTGTGGCTCACACCTGTAATCCCAACCCTTCGGGAGGCCAAGACAGCAGGATCACTTGAGCCCAGGAGTTCAAGACCAGTCTAGCCAACATAGAGAGACAGCTAAAAATAAATAAATAAATAACACTAAATCATCCTGAAGACCGCTTGCATTCATTCATTCATTCTGAGTATGTACAATGTGCCACCTCTGTGTGTCTAGAAGACTGCTTCCTTGAATTAAGAAAACTAAAGTGAGGGGCTTTGGTTCCTGACACTGACTAACTTATGTAGAAAACAAAGTTACTTGGAAAGCTGTCAGGTGGCTCACAGGCTCAATGAGAAGGCTGGAAAACAGCTTCAGAAAGATTCTATTCATGCCTAAGAAATAATCTGGTTTGAAGACCTAGGACACTGGGCATTGAATGTCATCACTACTAATGGAGTTCTGAAGTCTCCCTGCTTCACAAGTTCCAGGTGTGAATCTGCAGTTGACTGGGCTTGGTGCATGTGCCTGAGCTCTAGCTGCATGGGGATGGAGGTGTGAAGTGAGTATCTGGCTTTTATGGCATCAGTAATGGAAGGTGGGGAGTTGAGTTCTGCCTCCTGTTCAGGACTGACACAAGGGTCTGATTCTTCAAACATGAAAAGAAGTTCATGTTAGGGACACACACATCTCCCTCTCCCTACCAGAAAAATTCACATATTTCAGTTTTCCATTCTCAGAAGCTACTCATCCCAAACCCATTTTCTCCCTATTTCTTTTCTGTTTTACAAATGAAGCTCAGAGATACTAAATTAACTTGCCTAAAGATACATCTACTAAGTAAGAAAGCTGAGAAAAAAAAATCCTGGTTTTTTTTTTTTTTAACTTTCTATTATGGAATTTTTCAAAAATAAAAAAGCAGAAAGACAAATATAACAAGCCCCATAGTCGCCATCAGGCAGTCTTAGTCGTGATCAACTTGTGGCCAATCTTATTTCATCTATAATCCAACCTACATTCACACATCCACACTGGATTGCTGTGAAGCAAATCCTAAACACCATACTATTTCGACCCAAAATATTTCTACAAGATCCTCTAAAGAAGACAAACTGTAACCACAATACCACATCACGTTAAAAAATTAATAATAGTTCTCTAATATCATTAAATATCCAATCGATGTTCAGATTTCCCCAATTGTCTTGTAAATTTTATTTACAGTTGGTTTGTTTAAATCAAAATTCAAATAAGGCACATATTTTGCAACTGGTAAGTACTGTCATGTTGTTGTTAAAATTTATTTGTTGAAAAAATGAGTCATTTGTCTGGTGGAGTTTCCCACACTCCACATTTTGGGGCTTATATCATAGTGGTGTCTCTTAATGTGTTTCTGTGTATCACCAGGTCATTCTAACTCAAAAAGGCCAGACTACAATTCTATGCTACCCTGCTCAAAGGGTTGTTGTGATTATCAAATGTTCTATATGTGGTGGGTGCTGATTTATTTATTTATTTAATTGTTTATTTTACTTTAAGTTCTGGGATATATGTGCTGAAAGTGAAGGTTTGTTACACAGGTATACATGTGCCATGCTGGTTTGCTGAACCTATCAACCTATCATCTAGGTTTTAAGCTCCGCATGCATTAGGTGTTTGTCCTAATGCTATCCCTCCCCTTGCCCCCTACTCCCTGACAGTCACCAGTGTGTGATGCTCCCCTCCCTGTGTCCATGTGTTCTCATTGTTCAGCTCCCACTTATGAGTGAGAACATGTGGTGTTTGGTTTTCTGTCCTGTATTAGTTTGCTGAGGATGATGGTTTCCAACTTCATCCATGTCCCTGCAAAGGACATGAACTCATTCTCTTTTATGGCTGCATAGTATTCCTTGGTGTATATGTGCCACATTTTCTTTATCCAGTCTATCACTGATGGGCATTTGGGTTGGTTCCAAGTCTTTGCTATTGTACATAGTGCTGCAATAAATATACATGCACATGTATCTTTATAGTAGAATGATTTATAATTCTCTGGGTATATACCCAGTAATGGGATTGCTGGGTCAAATGGTATTTCTGGTTCTAGATCTTTGAGAAATCACCACATTGTCTTCCACAATGGTTGAACTAATTTACACTCCCCCCAACGGTGTAAAAGTGTTCCTATTTCTCCACATCCTCACCAGCAGGATGTTTCCAGTCTGTTGTTTACAGACTTTTTAATGATCGCCATTCTAACTGGTGTGAGATGTTATCTCATTGTGGTTTGGATTTGCATTTCTCTAATGACCAGTGATGATGAGCTTTTTTTCATATGTTTGTTGGCTGCATAAATGTCTTCTTTTGAGAAATGTCTGTTCATATCCTTCACCTACTTTTTGATGGGACTGGTTTTTTTCTTGTAAATTTGTTTAAGTTCCTCATAGATTCTGGATATTAGACCTTTGTCAGATGGATAGATTGCAAAAATTTTCTCCCATTCTGTAGGTTGCCTGTTCACTCTGATGATATGATGGGTGCTTTTTATTTGTAAAGTCTAAAGCAAATTTTATTTTCCTTAACTTCCCATGGTCCTACCACTCCCTCAGATGTTCCCTTTGTAGGTTTCCCACAATTATGTTCCCCTCTTCTTTGAATTCTCTTGCCCTTTCAGGAACATTCAGAAGATAAACGATATTTCCAGAAATGTCAGGATCCCCTCTTGTCGCACCTGCAGACCCTCTCTCCTGACCGGGCACATCTGGAGCTGAAGCGCTATTACAGCATCTGCCAAGACACTGCCTTGGGTGGACCAGGCTTCCAAGAAAGAGGAGAAGAGTTGAAAAGAGAGGAGAGGACTCAAAACTCCCTGAGTCCCACCATAGCGCCCAAGCTCAGCTTAGAGGTTCGAAAACTCAGCAATGGCAGATTATCAACATCTTTGAAGCTGGGACCCTTGCAACCTCGGGGAGTGCCACTTCGGGAGAAGAAGGCAACCCAGATGGTGGCCATTGTGCTTGGTAAGTTTGAGTTGACTTGCATTGGGTTGGACTGGGTTAGGTTGTGTTAAGTTAAGTGGAGCTGGCAGAAGATGCTAAGGTAGCCACATTTGACAGAAATTGGAAATTCAATGACAGTAATATTTATCAAATGTTTACCGTATAATTGAAAAGTATTTGTGTATAAATACTAACTCTGGTGGAAATTCAGAAGACCTAGGCTGAAATTTATGAAGCTGAACAAGCCATTTAACTAAGCTGTATTTTGCTGTCCGCTATATGGAGCTATAACACATAAATCAAACAACAAATAAGATATTGATGCAATAAAACTATCTGGCACATATTAGATATTTAATAAATTCTGAATTATTTTTAAATATTAATATTAAATAATTTTAAATATTTAAATTTTAATTTAAAAATTAAAATTATTTTAAATAATTTTAAATATTTTAAAAATAGGAATGCAAAACACTATTGTGATATGGTATGATAAAATCTAGATTATTTTAAATACAGAGTAAAAAAGACTAGAAAGAAATCGCCGAGATACCAAAAGTGATTAGCTTTAAGTGGTGGGTGCTTATTCCTTTTATTCTCTACTTCTCTGTGTTTACCAAGCTTTTCATAATGCACACAATCAAAGATGTTTGATTTTCGGTTTTTTTTTTTTGAGACATGGTCTGACTCTGTCGCCTAGGCTGGAGTGCAGTAGCACAAAATCACTGCAGCCTTGAACTCCTAGGCTCAAGCAATCCTCCTGCCCGAGCCTCCCAAGTAGCTAGAATTATAGCTGTGTGCCCCCAAGGCCAGCTAATTTTTAAATTTTTATTTGTTTTTTGTAGTGACAGGGTCTCATTATGTTGCCCAAGGTGGTCTCAAACTCATGGCATCAAGCAATCCTCCCATCTCAACCTCCCAAAGCACTGGCATTATAGGCATGAGCCACCACACCATGCCAGAATCTGGGCTAATTTTTATAGTAATAAAATATAAACTTTATTTATTAAGTTTTTGAGATACAGTCTCACTTTGTCACTCAGGCTGAAGGGCAATGGCATGATCTCGGCTCACTGCAACCTCTGCCTCCCAGGTTCAAACAATTCTCCTGCTTTAGCAGCCTCTCAAGTAGCTGGGATTACAGGCATGCACCACCACGCCCAGCTAATTTTTGTATTTTTAGTAGAGACAGGGTTTCACCATGTTGGTCAGGCTGGTCTTGAACTCCTGACCTCAGGTGACCCACCCACCCTGGCCTCCCAAAGCGCTGGAATTACAGGCATGAGCCACCGTGACCGGCCTGAACTTTATTTAAATAAAGAAATTAAAAATTAATAAATCATAGGTATGCTATAAAGTTAGTGAAGGCAGTTCATCCTGTTCAGTGTCACTGACAATCCCAACTCTCTCCTATATCAGGGACTTTACTAGAATTCCTAGCTGTAATCTCCTCAACAGCAGGAACTGTGTCAGTGCCATCTTTAAGGTCTTCATCCCTATCAGTGCCTAGGATCATGTCTTGCATGGGTAGACATTAAATAAATGTCTGAATTGAATTGAAAAGGAAAATAAAGATTAGTAAAGAACTACCTAGTGACCACACTAGAAAATTGATTTAGTAACAAAGGCCAAAGTGAATCAAAGGCATTAGCATGCAGTTTTCTCACCTAAAAAAAGTCTGGCTAATCACACCTACTTCATAAGGTTGTTATAAAAAAAAGTAAGCGTGTATGTAAAACTTCCAGCTTAGTGGCTGGCATTAAGTAGACAACTGTAAGTCGTTCTCATGTTATAACAAAAGGGGTAAGCAAATCCCTTACCCAGTTTCTCTCTTCTTTGGCAACTTAGGGGCCTTCATTGTCTGCTGGCTGCCCTTCTTCTTGACCCATATTCTCAATACCCACTGCCAGACATGCCACGTGTCCCCAGAGCTTTACAGTGCCACCACATGGCTGGGCTATGTGAATAGCGCCCTCAACCCCGTGATCTATACCACCTTCAATATCGAGTTCCGGAAAGCCTTCCTCAAGATCCTGTCTTGCTGAGGAAGCAGAGGAGGGAACACTCCTTGTGCCTATGTCTAGCTGCCAGGCTGTTGGCCCACTCCGAAAGACTGTTCAGTGTCCTCCGGCCTGTGGTAGGAAGAAGATTCCTGGAACCAGGATGTCCCTGCTTGTCAGGTATAACCAAATGTGTCCTCCAAAACAGAACATTTTACCTCCCCAGCTAAAATCTGACTTCATTCCGACAATCTTCAAATGATTGGGGAGCCCCCGAGTGATAAACAATAATTCAGAAAGAAGCTGATAAATCGTGGCTCACACAAAATTGTCGTTGGAGGCATGATTCATTACACTAAAGGAAAAATGAACAGATCTCATCATTCTCAACTTGCAGGGATCCTTGAAACCAGCCAGTAAACCACATAGAACAGCCAGTCTGTCTTCCTTCAAACCTCTAATTAACTGTCAGGCTAACCTTGTACTTTCACGGGCCCATTCCTCTTGGTCATTTCTTTCCTTCACTGTACCTGGAAATAGGAATGGCAAGGCCAATGCTTCTACCTCTGTAGAATCTGACGGGCTACATTCAGTGAGGTGAATTTCTCACCCCAAGAGAAACACTGTCCCACATTGGGACGGGGACTTCATTTCAAACTTTGCTACCCTTATATTTTAGCTTTAGCTGAGAAGGCATTTTGATTCCATTCCTGTACTCTCTCAAGGCAATCTCAGAGTCTCAATTTCCAGAGCCATTCAAGATGGGGATATTATTGGAAGATGGGACAACACATCCCATTGTAGTTTCACTGTTGAACCTTATGGTTCAGAACATTCCTTAGATATGCGTTTTATATCACCACCAAATTTTCCTACCCAGAACATCTTCATTTCTCCTTAACAGGGACCCAATGTAGTGGACCACATCATGACATCTTGGGCAACAGTGGACCACATATACAACGGTGGTCTCATAAGATAATAACGGAGCTGAAGAATTCCTATCACTTAATGTCATAGCTGTTGCAACATCATAGCTCGATGCATTACTTACATGTTTGTGGTGATGCTTGTATAAACAAATCATGCTGACAGTCATATAAAAGTATACAATCGTGTACATTACATAATACTTAATATTAATAATAATAAATGACTACGTTACTGGTTTATGTATTTACTATACTAAACTTTTCACCATTATTTTAGAGTGTACTTCTACTTATTTTTAAAAAGTTACTTATAAAACAGCCTCAGGCAGGTCCTTCAGGAGGTATTCCAGAAGAAGGCACTGTTATAGGAGATGACAGTTCCCTGTGTGTTATTGCCCCGGAAGACCTAGTGGGACAAGGTGTGGAGGTGGGAGACAGGGACACTGATGATTCTGACCCTGTTTAGGACTAAGCTAATGTGTGTGTTTATGTCTTAATTTTTAACAAAGTAGTTTGAAAAGCAAAACTAATTTTGAAAATAGAAAACATATATAGAGTAAGTATATAAGGAAAGAAAATGTTCTTGTCCAGCTATCCAGTGTGTTTGTGTTTTAAGCTAAATGTTATTACAAAAGAGTCAAAAACGTCAAAAAAAAACTTTTTAAGTTTATAAGGTAAAAAAGGGGCAGTAAGCCAAGATTAATTTATGATTGAAGAAAAAAAATTTTTTTAATAAATTTAGTGTAGCCCGAGTGTACTGTGTTGATAAAGTCACATCCCAGGACTTCCCCTCCAAGCACCACTCCACTCACTGACTCACCCAGTCTTACAGCTCAACTCAGCTGCCAGTCCACAAGCTCCATTTATGATGAGTCCTATATAAGTGCACCGTTTTCTGTCTTTTGTATCGTATTTTTACTCTATCTTTTCTACGTAAGTTATACAAATACTCCCCATCGTGTTACAATTGCCTAAGTGCACTTAGGCTATATGGTATAGTCTATTGCTCCTAGGCTACAAACCCAGACAGCATGTAACTGTACTGAATATTGTAGGCAATTGTAACACAGTTACTGGGGCTATATGATCTAGGTTTGTGTAAGTTCATTCTATGATGGTTATACAACAATGAGATCACCTAATGATTCATTTCTCAGAACGTATCCCTGTAGTTAAACAACGTGTGACTGTGTTTTCAGACCCTGACACTCACCAAGCAGTATGTGCAGAGTGCACAAAGACTTTTCCAAGGATTCCAAGGCCTCCCTTGCCCCACCTGTATTCCTCGTACCCTTAAATATATAATAAGGAAATATATACACTCCCGGTGAGCTGGTTACCTATTACTCTAAATGCTTTTGATGTCAGCATTTTATTTTTTTCCAAGTTGGAGTTTCACTCCTATTGCCCAGGCTGGAGTGCAATGGCGCAATCTCGGCTCACTGCAACCACCACCTCCTGGGTTCAAGCAATACTCCTGCCTCAGCCTCCCAAGTAGCTGGGATTACAGGCGCCCACCACCACACCCAGCTAAATTTTTTTGTATTTTTAGTGGAGACAGGGTTTCATCATGTTGGCCAGGCTGGTCTCGAACTCCTGACTTCATGTGATCTACCCGCCTTGGCCTCCCAAAGTGCTGGGATTATAGGCATAAGCCACCGCACCCAGCCAATTTTTGTATTTTTAATAGAGATGGGATTTTGCCATGTTGGCCAGGCTGGTCTCGAACTCCTGACTTCATGTGATCTACCCGCCTTGGCCTCCCAAAGTGCTGGGATTACAGATTTGAGCCACTGTGCCCAGCCAATGCCACCATTTTAAAAATTCCTATAATAACATATATATTATTACTCCTATAATAATGTTTATATTGTAACTTGGTGGGAAAATTCTGTCTGCCCATTAGTTCTTCTGTCTTGTGCCACCCAGTTCATCCAGGTTTATGGTGCAAGCTAAGCTGAGCCTGGAGACAATAAAAATCTGCAAAAGTAAAAATAGATGATTTCCAGGTTTTTCCGTGCCAAATGAACAGAAAATGGATGAGATGGTGGAGTAAAATATCATAGAATTCCATGTCAAAACCAGAGTCCTAAAGGCAGAAACATAAACAACAGACTGGGCATAGTGGTTTATGCCTGTAATCCCAGCACTTTGGGAGGCCAAGGCAGGAGGATTGCTTGAGCCTAGGAGTTTGAGACCAGCCTGGGCAAGATGGCAAGATGCAATCTCTACAAAAAAAATAAATAAATTAGCTGGGCATGGTGGCATCCACCTGTGGTCCTAGCTACTTGGAAGGCTGAGGCAGGAGCCTTGAATCTAGTAGATCAAGACTACAGTGACCCATGATTGCACAACTGCACTCTGGCCTGAACAACAGAGTAAGATCCTGTCTCAATTAAAAATAAAAAAGGTA